CGTAGTTCCTCTCTGCGGGTGAGAGGCGCCGCGAGAAGAAGGCGCAGGGATGGAGGCGGTGATCTGTGGGGGAGGTTTGAGATAGAACAGCCCCGACTCCCGTATCCGAGGCGTCAACCTCGAGTGTGAATTGCTTTGCAGGGTCTGGACGGGTGAGAATAGGTGCCTGAATGAATCTCTCCTTTAACTCACAAAAACTTCTGGAGGCTTCAGCGTTCCAAAAGAAAGGCCTCTTTACCGAGGTCAGTTGTGTCAAAGGGGCGGCTATCTGGCTGTACCCCTTAATAAACCGACGATAAAAATTAGCGAAACCCAAAAATCTCTGCAGCTGTTTGCGTGTGGAAGGAGTGGGCCAGTCCTTTACTGCCTGTACCTTTTCGGGGTCGGGTCCCAGCCTTCCACTCTCCAGTACGAAACCTAGGAACTTAACAGATGGGACATGGAATTCGCATTTCTCCGCCTTAACGTAGAGCCGATTTTCGAGCAGGCGTTGGAGAATGGCACGGACATGACCAGTGTGTTCCTCGGGGGTCCTCGAAAAAATCAAAATGTCTTCAAGATATACCGTGACGAATTTGTTCAGGTAGTCGCTCAAAACTGTGTTTACCAGGTTCTGAAAAACGGCGGGTGCGTTCGTGAGGCCAAAAGGCATGACTAAATACTCAAAATGTCCTATTGGTGTTTTGAAAGCCGTCTTCCACTCATCTCCCTCTCTGATGCGAACCAGATGGTAAGCATTTCTGAGATCTAACTTGGTGAATATGGTAGCGTCTTGTATGGGTTCAAATGTGGATGACAGTAAGGGTAGTGGATACTTGTTTCTTATGGTGATTTGGTTTAAGCCACGGTAGTCTATGCAAGGTCTCAGGGTGCCGTCCTTCTTGGAGACGAAGAAGAAGCCGGCACCCAGAGGAGAGGTGGAAGGCCGAATTATGCCGGATGCCAGGGACTCGGAGATGTACTGTTCCATACTTTCCCGTTCAGGTTTGGAGATGCTGTAGAGACGGCTAGAGGGAAGAGGTGCTGCGGGGAGAAGATCTATGGCACAATCATAAGGGCGGTGAGGCGGTAGGGAGGATGCTTTGTGTTTAGAAAATACCTGCTGGAGGTCATGATATTCAGGAGGAACCCCGGTGAGGTCGGGGGGTGTGATTTTCAGGGCTCGAGGCTCGGAACTAGGTGGGGCAGGTCCCAGACAGGTTGAATGACACTTGTTGCTCCACATCTCCACCTGGTTTGTGACCCAGTTAATGCGGGGGTTATGGTTCCTTAGCCAGGGATGACCCAGAACCACAGGAGACTGGGGGGATGGAAACACAAAAAAGGTGAGTTCCTCGCTGTGGTTACCTGATGTCATAAGGCGAATGGGTGTCGTCTTGTGGGTGATCGAAGTGAGGGAGCCCCCATCCAAGGAGGACACCCGGCAGGGTGTTTGTAGAGGAAGGGTGGTGACCCGGAGTTGCTCCACTAGCTGTTGGTCAAGGAGATTTAGTTCGCAACCTGAGTCAATTAATGCCAGAGAGGGAAAAGAGTTATTTGATTATGTGACAAAGAACAGTCCAATACACACCGAGAGTTTAAGTCTGACCGAGAACCACCCACCAGTACTCTCGGGGCTACTGATGGGTCCTGTAGTTTTAACTGCTTGGGGCAGTTGGCCACAAAATGCCCAGGCATGCCGCAATACAAACACGCCCCTGAACTCATGCGCTTGTTTCTCTCCTCTTGGGTTAATCTAGCTCGGCCAATCTGCATGGGCTCACTGGGGGGCGGAGCTGGAGCTGCTGGATTCACATTTTGCGGGCAGTTAAGACGAGATGGTAATGGGAAGTTGTTACCTCTTTGGCGTGCCTTATGTCTCTTTTCCATCCGACTGCACAGTGCGATGAGACTCTCGAGATCAGGTGGTTCTTGGCAGAACGCGAGTTGATCCTGAAGCTGCTCGTTAAGAGCCTGGGTGAACGCCCCTTTAAGCGAGGCTTCATCGAGGGTGGAGGTGGCGGCCAGGGTTCGAAACTCTATGGAAAATTCAGCGATTGAGAGCCTCCCCTGACGTACACTCCAAATCTGTCTGGCCACATCGGCCGCTGACTCAGGCTTGTCAAAAGTCATTTTAAAATCTGCCAGAAACTCGTCTAACGAGTTCTTGAGGAAGCTCGGGTTTCGGCTCTTTGCCTCCGCCCACCGGAGTGCCTTGCCGCGTAGAAGACCGATGATGTAGGAGATTTTAATTTCATCGGTGTAAAAGGACTCCGGTGATCTTTGGAAAGCCAGCTGGCACTGGAGGAGAAAACCTCGACAAACCTCCCGATTGCCATCGAAAATCTCCGGTGGAGGAGAGGTGGCGACCCGGAAACAGGGTAGATCGGATGGTGCAGGGAGAACGGGTCCGGGCCGACTTGGAGCGGGGAATGAGGCTTGCTCCGGAGAGGTGAGTGGGTGGCTTAACTCCTTTATCATAGTTCCTAATTCAAACAAAGTCTGGTTAGTGTGGGAGAGTTGATCGGACAAAGAATGGAGCGAATTACTGTGCTGAGCCAGGGTGGCGGAAACGGAGGGAACTGATTCTGTATTGAGGTTAGAGGAATGGCTGGATGATTCTGTCATGAGGTGGTGAAGTGATCTAACCCACGACATACAGAATCAGATCGGAGACGGTTTTAAAAGGTTTAAATAAGGATTTATTGAAGGGAAACCAAGGGAGCAGCGTAACGAAGCTGAGTTCTTGCGCAGGGAGGCTGGTGCGGGAAAAGGTCTGGAGAGGTGGGAACTGGTTTGAGGGAGGAGTGGTCCGGTCTGGGTAGCAGGGACTGAGATCCAGGAGTGAGACGTGGAGGGAGCTGAGCTTGGGGAGGTCCAGGAGGGTTAGGTGGGCAGCTGGAGGTGGTTCTGGCCAGGGGAGAGGCTGAGAGACGAGCGGGGTTGGAGCTTCAGATGATGCGGGCTCCAGAGTTCTGCCAGTCGAAGATGAGTGTGGAGGTTTTGTCTGGAGACAAAGCAGGAGGTCAAAAGGTAAAAATCCAATATCTAAAAACACATCTAGTTCTCAAAAAGTTAAGAGCTCGAATAAGTCACACGAGTGGCTGTTAGAAGGTACCCAGGTAGAGTAATCATCCAGCGAAGTGTAGGAGTCTCCCAGCTGCTTAAATACCCCTGGCCAGCTGATGAGCAGATCTGCTGCAGCTTGGTCACCTCCAGACACGCCCACCTGCAGAGGGAAACTCAAAAGACAGGGAGTGACAGCAGGGAAATACCTCAGACCGTGACACTAGCTCCCAAACCATAGGTTCTACCATCAAAAACTTTATATGTGCATGATCCATGGATGATTCTGCATGTTTTTTATGGCTCGCCCATTTCTGCCCAACTTGATTTTTTGCTAGATCGCAAAAAATGCTAAACTTAATTTCAATTACCAATCCGTCATTTTTCGTCGAATCAACTTCAATCTTTGTACAAATGATCTATAGACTAACCTAAGTCGTTGTGATGAAGAAAAATGTGGAATTATTGAAAATTGGGCTAATGACGTCATGTTAAATTTAGCGCCCTAGCTAGCACATGTCCTAATTGATGATATCTCCACCATTTTTCAAGATAAAATGATGAGGCTCTACACCCTTACAAAGTATGAGAGATAAGCAGGTTGTAATGTGGCGTTTATAGCTTAGTATCAAACAAATGTACCAGATATTTATATTTAATAAGACATAATATATTATTTACAAATAGATCCTAAAACATAAACATACTTGTTGTTAGCATCAGCATTAATAGCATGAGCTAATACAATAAATTAGCACAATCCACTACTTACCGCGGTTGCCAACTCTCACGCAGTCTGTACAGGCTCTCACGCCACAACCTTCAATCCTCACGCTGAAAAGGTCATCTGTCTGAGCAACACTGCTACCAGTGCTGCTGACTGTGCTTACCTCCTCTAGCTACTGCGCTACGAGTTTGATTTGAAGCGAGAAAGGGTAGTTGACGCCCTCTAGTGTTGAAAAGCTAGAATTAAACTCTGGTTCTGTTAAAATATTTCATCAAATCCCAGCACGTTTTAGCGGTTTCTCAGCTCCAACACACCCGATCAGTGGCTGAATCACCTGTGCTGCAGCTCATCAAGCTCTGCAGATGCCTGTTAATTAGCGACCTGCTGAACAGTTGTGTTTTTCTGCCAAACTAATGTGTCATTTAGCCAAACCATGTTCGTGTGACTTCAGGGTCACGTGAGTGAAACCCAGCTGGGTTTGCGACTAGGGAAACTAATGTCGCTAGCTGGTTGGGTTTATTCACACACTTTGGGTTTGTTGGAATTTTCAGGTAGTAGGTAGGTGTTTCGTGCGTAAATTCAAAAGCTGTTGGCAGATCGGGGTGTTCTGACCGTAAAGTGTTATGACAGTTTTTCTCTTGTTTACAGTATAGTAACACGCTTATTAAGCAGGGTTTATTTTAAATAGGTGACAAAGATACAGAACTAGTATAATCATAATTATACTAGCTAATATATTTGCTAATATATTTTGCTAATATATTAGCAAAAATGCACAGTGTTTGTCGTAATTCCGTGAATTACGATAATGGGAGAAGTTTCTTGTTTACGGTATAATAACAATATTTTACAAGCCATTTACAACAACTGCCAGGTAAAAATACAACAAGCAGTAACTTCCGGAGATAGACCCCGTCTTTTGGTCTTTTCGGGTAAACAGCCGGAGACGTAGTAATCGGTCTGCGCATGCGCATTTCCGCAATCTAACACATAACGACCAGATAATGATGCGTAGCGCGGATAGTCAGGTCAGGGGTCCCAAAAACAGCTCAGAGGGAGTTTTGTTTCTTTAGGTTGCCAGACTACACATGTATTATAAATATTGCGCCACAGTGTTTAAACGAAAATATAAGTTACGTTGTTTGTACTTTCTGAAATTAGACATTTCCCGCGAAATCCGGGGTTTTCTCTATGGCCGCTGTCTCTTTAAAACGCAGGAGGCGTGAGGGGACGTCTCTGACGGTGGGTACGTCCTGAGTCTCGTGAATGATAACCAGGTTGTGTGACATGATAGAGCAGGACTCCAGCGGCAGTAGGAGAGCGTAGAGAAGCACGTGAAGGTGACAGGTTGGATGCTGGACTCGTCTTGGCTGTTGCTCCATAGCTTAACGCAGAGAAACGCGTGGTGCACGGTGCCAGAGCTTCCTGTCGCTGTCCGCACCTTGTAGGGGAAATTCAACCCGATCGAATGACCTACATGTTTTTAGCACAGTCAGATTCAACTTTATGTTAATTACGCAGGGAAATTTGTCCATAAATTATGTACACAATCACAAGAGGTCCCAGCAAACTGGTGACGCAGCGACGCACAGGTGAGTCTGGAGCGATGCTGGGTCATGTTAGATTCTGTCCGATTTGAACTGGACTTGTTTATAGGACCCAGTCAGCAGCTGGACAACAAGATCAACGACTTTAAGCACAAACAAACACCCTGGAACATGCCTGAGTAAGTGTATGCAGCAGTTTCACACGATCAACACATCAGTGTGTGTGTGTGTGTGTGTGTGTGTGTGGTGTGTGTGTGTGTGTGTGCGTGTGCGCGCGCCACACATTTAACACATCTCTGCTACAAACATTTTGTTTTTTGGACAAATCAACTAAACACCTTTTGCCTTTTACAGCCTTCCTGCACCCAAGATCGTATTCAGTCGTCTGAATGGAAAAAAGCACCATCCCTCTGCTCAGGCGCTTCCTTCAGACATTCAGCGTGAAGAGACGTTCTCCTATGCACATGAGGAAAACGTCAAGTTTGTCTCTGAAGGTGAGAACTTTCAATGATTGAAGACAAAATGTTTTAAATTCTGTTTTGTGAATGGTGTGCCACTATCAGATATTTTAAAAGGCTACGATCAGCCACCTCCTCCCCCTTCAAGGCTACTCCCACACAGCTGTCCTGACACTGATAGCCACCAACGGTATTGAGCAGAGGGAACACTCTCACGTCCAGACGTCCTGGCCCACTCCGGCACAAGTGCTGAGGGATTAAATGCATTTTTGGCCTTGATTTTAACCCAACAGCATCTCAGAGACAAGAAGAGACTCTGTGCACTTTATTTTTTGGGGGGGGGGGGGGGGGGGGGGGGTGTTGAAGTGTTTAGTTCTTTTTAGCATTCACACTCGCCCTGCCTTCAGGAGACCTTGCTTGGCTCAGCACGCTTGTTTGTGTTTTTGCTTTTTTAACTTTGTGCCCTGTTGGCATTGAAGCTCAGTCACAGCAGCTCATAAACCACTTCAGTAACCTTGTTGTCCAGGGGACAAGGACACAGAACAGGCCCAGTTCTCTCATTAAACTCTTTTCCCTTCACTAGTAGCTCCACACAAAATATTTTTTACCTCCATAAACAAAACGAGTTCTCTGAAGGCTGCAGACCTGCAGGCAGAAACCAGAGATCAACTCAAACATCCTGCATCGGATGAGGGAGTTCAGTTCAAGTACAAACATACACTACCAGTCAAAAGTTTTAGAACGCCCCAATTTTTCCAGTTACTTATTGTAGTTCATTCAAGTCCAATGAATAGCTTGAAATGGTACAAAGTTAAGTGGTGAACTGCCAGAGGTTAAAAAAAGGCAACATTACTCAAAACTGAAAAATAATGTACATTTCAGAATTATACAAAAGGGCCTTTTTCAGGGTACCCAGCTGTTCTGCAGCAATGGAGGTTGATCAAGCCTTGAAAGCTAATGCTACTAATTCCCACAGGTGTTCCAACTTTTCTGGATCACTTACAACCGCCTCTGTCTGCATAAAAGCAGTGTTGGATCCAAATTTGAAATCTTTGGTTCATGACGCAGGATCTTTGTACGCCGTCGAGTAGGTAAAAGGATGGTTCCAGTGTGTGGCATCAACTGTCAAACATGGAGGAGGAAGTGTGATGGTCTGGGGCTGTTTTGCTGGATCCAGGGTCGGTCACTTGTACAGAGTGAGAGGCACCCTGAACCAAAATGGCTACCACAGCATTCTCCAGCACCACACGGTACCCTCAGGGGTTCATCCTACAGCAAGATAATGACCCAAAACATAAGTCCAGGCTATGCCAGAACTACCTCAAGAAAAAAGAACAAGATGGTAAGCTTGCAAAAATAGAGTGGCCAGTAGGGATGAGCCGGATAAAGTATTTTTGACGAATATGAGCATGAAATGAGAAAGCCTCGTAAATATCTGTAATCGTGCTGAAGGAAAATCCTCATTGGGTAACTGACTGTCTTCACGCTCTGATTGGCCAGTCACATAGAGCGCCCGCCCCTCCCTACACACAAAACTCTAGCCGGCCGGGAGCGCAGTCCGTCCGGTTCATCCACGCACACACACAAACCGTAATGGATCTCGCTGTGATTGCTTCACTGTTGCTCACGTTTCTTCAGTAGTCCCTAGGTTTTCTTCAGCTTGCCTCTTTTTCGGTTGAATATTTAAAGTTACTTTTTTCGTAACTTACATGGTGCTTTTGACAAGACGGAGCTGACGTGCTGCGTCAGTCACTAACTCCGCTCCGGTCGGGTTTTTTATTTTTTTTTAACTCCCTCTCTCACCCTCTCTATCTCTCTCACACACAACTTAATCAACATTGTTTTGTTTATCTTTGTGTGGGAAAATGTCAAGAACGTTAAGAAAAAAATCTGTTTAATCAAATTAAAATAAAAAATATACATAAAGTTGTGTCTGGTTCTAGCATTTCATATTTCCTAGTTCCTGTTGCATGAGTTCAGATGTATTAATCCATGCACTTAAATATTAATGTTCTGATTTTATTGAAACACTTGTTCTGTAATAGTTTCTTTACTATTGTGATCAAAAATATTTACAGTGATCCCTCGTTTATTGCGGTAGATGCGTTCCAGACCTGGCCGCGATAGGTGAAAATCCGCGAAGTAGGGACACCATATTTACAGTACAGTACTATATTGAATTATCGAATGATCACATTCTCTTTTTGTGGGTAAAACTCAAGAAAAATTTTTTTTACTTGTTTTTTTATAGTTTTATTACAAAAAGTGCATTTTATGATGAAATTGATGAAAAAAACAGGAATTTCTTGATATTTCGCATAGAAAAATACCGCGAATCGGTGAAAAATACCACGAATCGGCGAATTTCCCTTGAATAAGGCTCCAAAGAAAAAATCCGCGAAGTCGTGAATCCGCGATAAACGAACCGCGAAGTAGCGAGGGATCACTGTAATCTCAATTCTGAGGTTGCTCTGTAAGTAGTTTTCAAATAAACAATACACATATTGACTTCTGATCAATCCATATCAATTTCAGACTTAAAATAATATATTGATGTAAACCACACCCACTTCCGGTTAAACCACGCCCACTTCCGTGTTATGCCACACCCATTCCGAGTACAGATACAGATAATTTAGTTGGTTAAACAGATACGGATGGTGGTGTACTCGCTCATCCCTAGTGGCCAGCACAGTCTCCAGACTTAAACCCCATGGAGCTGGTTTGGGAACTGGACAGAAGAGTGAAAGCAAAGCAACCTACAAGTGCCACACATTTATGGGAACTTCTGCAACAGATATGGGAAGAACTTTCTGAAGAATATTTGATTTCTATTGTAGAAAGAATGCCACAAGTGTGTTCAGCTGTTACTGTATATCTGCCAAAGGCGGCTACTTTGATGAGTCAAAAGTTTAGAATACATTTCGGTCTATAAATTCATTCCATGACTTCTTTTTTAACTCCAGTTGCTTATTTGTGCTGTGCTTTCATATCAGAGTGCAATGTGACTCTAATGTGACTCTAATCTGCATCATTTCCAATAAAAAAAACTGGAAACATTGGGGCATTCTAAAACTTTTGACCGGTACTGTATGTCAGCAGTGCCCCTCATAGACTTTACTTCCTTTTTGTATTTTAACTTGGAGCATATTTTATTTTGAGAGATGACGTGTGTGAATCGGCTCTGTCTTCTCAAACCAGTCAGTCATGGAAGAAGGCTGCTCAGACTGAGCCAGGTTCTGCTGGAGGTCCCGTTGAAGGAGAGTTTTCTTCTCCACTGTCGCTACATGCTTTAGTATGGGGACGTCGGTGACTCCATGCACTCTGATAGGTTTCTTTAGCTAATTGACACAATGAACTGATTTACTTTGTGAAGTACCTTGAGACGACTCTTGTGATTTGGTGCTATAATAACAAACCAGATGGATGACGTAGCTGATGTGTTTTCAGCCTGGCGAGCTGTGGTTCATCAGGAGGTCGAGACAGGTCCAGGACTTGAGGTGTCCCAGAGAACAGTTCACTACAAAGAGACCACTCCTGGGCTGCACTTGGACAGTGAGTACAGCTGCTACTCGTGCTGGTTTAGTCTGATTTTATCAGTTCTTTGATAGTTGTGTAAAGATCTTCTCAGCTAAAGCTGCATCTCTTCCACCCAAAATCTCCTAAAGCTACTGATCTGCTTATTTCATTATTTACATAATCACAACCAGTCTGGCAGGCCAGGCTAACCCCAGATATCTGATTTGAGAAAACAAAAATGCCTAAAAAAGCTAAATAATTTAGGGCATAAAGAGAACAGCTTCAGCTCATACTAACTTGTGTCCAATCATGATAATTTAGTAGTTTTTGTAACAATTATGTTAGAAATGTAGCTTCAGCCATTGTTTTTCAGTTTTATGTTGATGTCTGAGGACCCCTTGTGTGGCTGTGTTGGTTTATGCTTGCCGCGTCCGCCAGGTCCGCACGGCTCCGCGCGGCAAAATTGCGTCATTTTAACAACCACGCCCCTCCACCGCGCCTCCGCACGGCCCAAAATTTCCGCACCGCGCAACTAGGAAATTTTCTAACCACGCGGAGGGTCGGACGCGGAAAAACATGGCGGACTGGCAAGAACTAGTATGGCAGTGTAAGCTTCATTGGTTAAATAAAACTTGTTTAAAAAAAAAAAGAAAAAACGGTTCGTAAATACAGACATTTGTATGATTCAGCTCTCAGAGATCACCGTGATCAACATGTTGTTGATAACTCTTTGGAGACAAATAGCTCGCACTGTCGGAAAAGATGAGGACCAGGGGCGGATTTAGGACTGAAAAAGATCCGGGGCTTAACTAACACACACACACACACACACACACACACACACACACACACACACACACACACACACACACACACACACACACACACACACACACACACACACACACACACACTAGTCAACATCATATATATTTGTCTTGTACCACATAATTTTTTATCTGAAGCTACATATTAAGCATATTCAGGGCAGAGTATTGTTCCTGTTAGTGTTTAGTGTGAGACGATAGTAAATATTCCCTTTCTTTCTCCAACAACTTTACCTGATAGTAAGCTAACTTTAGGCAAACCAGCAGCACAACAAATATTTTCAAATAAGACTCACAAACCTGAGTCATCACCAGTCTCATCAAAGCTGGGGTTCTGTCGCGGTACTTTTGGTCTAAAAAACGTCCTTATGCCCATCTTCGCACATGCGTTTCAGGCAGAGAGTGTAGAAGAAGCCGACTGCTGAAGGACTTCTTCTTCAGTGGTGGAGGCTCAGGCAGGCTGTATACAAATTACTGCCAGCTGCTCCCTCTCTGTTGGACTTTGGTACTGCATGTTACTTCCGCGATTTAGATCCAGGGCTTTTCATAAAACATCCGGGGCTTGAGCCCAAGTAGCCGGGCCTAACGCCACCCCTGAAGAGGACGCTGTTAAAAAATGCTGGAATGCCATGCTGTAAACAGTCATTTTTACTTCTACTACGGTTTAGTGTTGGATGCATGCCATAGAGCTCCATGCTGCCCCCTACAGTTTGGGAGAATATTGGCTCACCGCAGAGACAAGTCACATGAACCTTAAATGTTGCGAGTTGTGAAGCGCGTTCCATCCGCGAGCCACATCACCAAGCGGAAAGTGAATGCGTCAAGCATAAACCAAGCGGGTCTCTATTCCCAGTGAGTGATGGAGACTGAACCCACACCCCCATCCTACCCTGAGCCTCTGACAAATGGAAACACACACACACACACACACACACACACACACACACACACACACACACACGTGCAAAATGCCTGGGACAGTTCCACCTGTAGATATTGGTGGGGACAAATCTGTAAAGGAGGAGCAAAGAAAAATAAATGGTGCTGCAGAAAGGTGAGGAAATCAGGACAGGCAGCAAGATTTGGACCCATTTTAACTACAGTGACAATTCAAAGGCAGGGTGTGGGATATGTGAAGAGAAAAAGGTCACATCCAGCAGGCTCCAATAGTTTGTTTTTGTCACCTAAAATGTGTTTTTGTAGCACTCTAGAAGGCGCTATATCAAATACAGGTAATTTAAACAAGTTAAATCCTGATATCAGTGTTTCACACATCTCCAGTATCTTATTTACTCCTAAACTGACCTTTTCCTTCTCCTGAGGTTTTGTTCCCATAGATCTGGATGAATGGTGGGCCCAAAGCTTCTTAGCCAACATAGACAAGCCCTCTTGATGCTTAAAGTGGATCTGATGCGGTTCTTTGAGAGGTCAGACTTGAAGAATGGGGCCAAAACGGAAAATGAACCCTGAGCCGTTGATTTGATGGCTCGAACTTCCCTGATGTGGTCCAGTTGGTGTTGGAATGCTAAAACCAGAGTCAAGGGCTACTTGACTTGAACTCTTGCCTTCTGACAACTCGGTCTGAGTCGGACTGCAGCGGAAAAATGTCTTAAAGCAGAGGTTTCCTCCTCACAGCAGACAACCTTTAAAACGCAGTAAAAATGTATTTAACAGACGATTCAGTTTTTATTTGCAAAAAAAGGATGAAGTTTTCAAATAATTCTTGTGAATTCATCATTTCAAGTATCCTGGTTTAAGCAGAAATGTTTCACGATGTTTGAAACAACATTTAGGACACGTTTGATTTCCAACCACCACTCTAGTCCGATTTCAGCTGTTATTGTTTACATTTGAAACATTCACATAAACCTGTAACAATATGGCAATCCTCCTGGAACTGTACTCCATATGAAAGCCACAGAAATAATTATGGCCGTAAAGCTCAGTGAGAATATTGATCTGACAAAAGAAATAAGTTAATGGAGAAGCTTCCAGCAGCTTGTTTTCAGCAGTTAACTCCAACACGTGTGCTCCATCAGCAGAAGGTAAGTGCTCCACAGCTCCAGTAGTGTTTAAGGTCTCATCCTGCTCCAGTATGCAGGCCACTGGAATCATAACCAGACCAGTCTGCAGGAGGTGGTCAGTGCTTCTCCAGCGCTTTACACAGGAGGTCATTGAGGCAGGAAATCATCGGCCGTGGATCATCATTCAAGCCTGCTGTGATCATGGCGTTGTCGTAGATCTGGAAAACACAGAGACGTGTAAAAACACCGAAGCTGGTGGGATCACAGCCCTTGTGTACAGGTCTTGTTTTTAAAGGTAGATCTGCTTCAGTTCCAATTCACAACCTGGTAAACCTGCAGCTTTTTAAATGCGTGTTTGTAATCCTTTATACTTCAAGCATCTTATATTCTCACGTTCTGCTTTTTATCATGCAGATGTTTAACTTATTCATGGACAAAGACATTTATTTTAACGGGGCGGGCCTGGGAACGAGCCCCCGCACCGTAAGAGTAAACAGCACGGCTTTAAAGCTGATCTTCACCTGTGTGAGTCACGTCACATGATCAGGAAGCAAGAAATCTATGAATTATGATATCGTTTTGAGACGCTGTTGTGAAAAAAGTCAGGCGCAAACCGGAAAGGCTTCTGCAGCTTACGCTTTGTCAACAGGCTGTGAAAGAATGGAAAAAGCTAGAAACACGCCGATTCTGCCTGGTGTAAGAAGTGAGTCGACTCTCTTTTGGTAGTTTTGGTGTTTACATGATCATAGAGCACAACGTTCTGTGACTCTTCAAAAACAGTAGAAACGCTCAAAAGCGCTGGCAGTCAGATCAGAAAATGGCTGGCAGTCGTCGTCTTCCTCCGCTTATCCGGGTCCGGGTCGCGGGAGCAGCATCCCAACTAGGGAGCTCCAGACATCCTCTCACCAGCCACCTCCACCAGCTCCTCCGGCAGGACCCCAAGGCGTTCTCGGACCAGATTGGAGATGTAACCTCTCCAACGTGTCCTGGGTCGACCCGGGGGCCTCCTGCCGGCAGGACATGCCCGAAACATCTCCCCAGGGAGGCGTCCAGGAGGCATCCTGACCAGATGCCCAAACCACCTCAACTGACTCCTTTCGATCCGGAGGAGCAGCGGTTCTACTCCGAGTCTCTCTCGAATGTCCGAGCTCCTCACCCTATCTCTAAGGCTGAGCCCGGCCACCCTACGGAGGAAACTCATTTCGGCCGCTTGTATCCGCGATCTTGTTCTTTCGGTCATTACCCAAAGCTCATGACCATAGGTGAGGATTGGGACGTAGATCGACCGGTAAATCGAGAGCCTGGCTTTCTGGCTCAGCACCACGACAGATCGGCTCAGCGTCGGCATCACTGCAGACGCAGAACCAATCCGCCTGTCGATCTCCCGATCCCTCCTACCCTCACTCGTGAACAAGACCCCGAGATACTTAAACTCCTCCACTTGAGGTAGGACCTCTCCCCCGACCCTGAGTTGGCAAGCCACCCTTTCCCGGTCGAGAACCATGGTCTCAGATTTGGAGGCGCTGATCCTCATCCCAGCCGCTTCACACTCGGCCGCGAACCTACCCAGCAAGAGCTGAAGGTCAGAGCAAGAGATGAAGCTAGGAGGACCACATCATCCGCAAAAAGCAGAGACGAGATTCTCCTGCCACCAAACTCGACACACTCCACACCACGGCTGCGCCTAGAAATTCTGTCCATAAAGGTAATGAACAGAACTGATGACAAAGGGCAGCCCTGGCGGAGTCCGGAAACCACATTGCTCCTCCTGGTTTGGAAACAGTTCCTCAGCCTTTCTGTTGCTCCCTCAGTCCTCAATTTCATGGTATTTTTTTTACGTGAAAATCCAGATGAGCCGTCTGGAGCTTCTCCACGGAGCTTTGGAGCCGCTCACATGCAGCGACCGCGTCAGCTGAGGGGGGATGTGCACATTAATTGCTGTTACATGTGAAAACTCTCTCAGGATGTATTAGGGCCAAAGGCCAACAGCCAATAACTCAATGTCTTTTGTGCAGAGTTTTTGTTTAAGGGTCACATGTGCCAGGATTTACCAGTTCTCCTTAATAAACACAGCGAGACCCCCACCTTTGCGCTAACCGCTCTGCACTCCTGTTGGCCCGCGTGAGTTTAAATCCTTCCAGGGAAACCTCAGAGTCAGCTATCAGCTCATCCATCCATGTTTCCATTAAAAAAGACTACACTACACTGTCTGTAGTCCCACTGCAGCCTGCTCTGCGCTGTGAGCTCATCAATCTTATTGGGAACAGACATTTCCCATAATCACGGAGAGTAAAAATGGTTTAGATCTCTGTTTTCTCTCCTGGAGCTTACGTCCCTCTTTACATTTCCTCCTTAATTCTGGGGGCAGAATCAGCTCTTCTGAGAAGAGAGACAGTGTCCGCAGCGCCAACAGCTGGTCCCCGGTATAATCAACAGGCGCATGGATGGAGACGGAGGATTTTCCAGGTGTGTTCCCAACAAGTTCAGAAAACACTAAAAAAAAAAAAAAAAAAAGAAACACAAATGACACAAGTGTGGGCTCAAGCTTAGCACATTTTTGGACTAATTTGTTTCTTTGATCTTTTTTTCTGATTATTTTGTGTGTTTTTTTGGCTTCAAACTTCTTTGGTTGTTTATGGGTGTTTCCATGCCTCTACTTGACTTAAGTGACTCAATCAGTCTCAGTGAAAAGGAATTTTCTAGACCTCTCTGTTGCTGTGATTACCCATTAATGACTGTAATTTTTTTTGCATGGTTTGTGATTAAAAAAGCCTTTTATTTCCTATACTGTCCAGCATTTGTCTCTGTGTTTCAGAGCAGAAGTCCAAAACCACCGAAACAAAGTCTGTGGATTATTTGGCGTTTGGCTACACATAAAGCATTAACCCTCTGGAGGCCGGCGTTGCAGATTTGCAACGTTAAAACCTGCCTACCTGGTTACTCCACATACGTAATTCATGAGCATTTTTTAACTCAGAAGTACCCCTGCAGGACTTAGTTGTTTGTCTTTTTATCAAAACTTATTTTGAGCCTGAGAGGGTTCATACAAAATCCATCTAAATAGTTATCTTATGTGCAGTAGTCTGTCTTTTAAAAATGCTACAATCATTTACATAATATTACATTATAAAATAATAGTAAAAAGCACATGATTACAGTCGAACAATAACTTAGTCTTATATTTTACAATAATTTGGGTAAAATGTGACTCAGTGGAACGTTCTCATAGTTGCTTCCAGTGAAGCACACATGCATTTCCTCTTGTTGTCAGTGGTTAAATACGAGTGATAACCATGTGACAGGAAGCAGGGTGGAGGGACACAAACGGTAAACCATGAAGAGCAAATCTAGACAGTAGATTTGGGAATTCAATAAAATCAAACCAAACCACTTCAACAAACATTATTAGAGCTTTAATGACATGAATCTTACGATAAACAAAAGACACCAAACTGATGTAATGGTTTAGGAAACAGAAAGCAGAAATAAACAAAAACAGGAGCTGAAAAAGACAACAGAAATGTAAATATTACATGATTGAAATTGGCTTCTACTGTAGTTCTGTTTACTTACATGTAAAGAAGTAAATGAATCAAACATTTTGGTTCAGTCTTTGTTTCTCACAAAGGGACAATGTGTAGTTTTTATCATTAATCTCTTGAAATATCCATTGAAATGTTGTGTAAAATGAAGGAAATGATGCCCAGTTGTTGAAAAATATTGGCAGCTTCTAACATCTAACCATAGAAATCAGATCTATAATACATGGGAGTGGGTCTAAGTCTCCGAGCGACGCCATATTAGATGCCATGTTACCTTCTATGGGAGCCCACGAGGTCAAAATGCATTTACTGATTTGTAACAAGCGATTACAAAACCAATCATGAACATTGTTGTTTTACACATTTACCTCTTTACTCATTGCCACTGATGAAAGGGAGTCTGTTGTGCTTTTTATTTAGCTGAAGTTTGCACTCCCCAGGGCTTTTTGACCCTAATTGAGATCCGTTGGTAAGGTCTTACTCCAACTCAAAAATAAAGCTTGCTTGCAACAATTTAAGTATCTACTGCCCCCTATCGCCAGGAGAAAGACACACTGTCACATTAAATGGATCTGATTACTTACTGGTAGAGACGCTCGATACTGGCTTTTCTTTTTAACCGATATCCAATAATGTCTGACTCCTAATTTCTGATATCGATATATGTTGTGTTCCCCTCAGAAAAAAACAAACAAACAAACAACATTGGAGGTTAGTAACATCAAATATCTTCTATCATGAATGCTGACTTTTGAATAATTTTATGTGTAAAATGACAACTACTTCAGCTTAAGTTAGTAATGGGATTACTGCCAACAACAACAGCAGCTGAATCTCATTCTGCCTAAGTCTGATGCTAAGATGTGTGTATTAGTTAGAAATGTAATTTTTCTTATTCTGTATTTTGCAGTTAATAAAATGTAACAACAACAACAACAACAATAATATTGGACAGGATTTATCTAACACTTTTCTAAGCGCTCATCGTTATTCACACACGTTCACATTCAAACACTGCCAGTGACGGTGAGTCACTATGTGGCCAAAGCTGCTCTGGGGTGGTCTGACAGAGGCGAGGATTCCATCACCTACATAGGCCAGTCAGGTGAAGTGTTTTCCCAGGGAAATAGCAGCAGAATGCCCCTGGCGGGAGCTGGAATCATTCCCACAATCCTCCAATCACGAGGCAAGCCTGCTCAACCTCCTGAGCTTTTGCAGCCTGAGTGTTTTTTTCTGATCTAAAGATCTAAGAAAAGCAAGCCTTGGGTGGAGATTCTTATTTTAGTTTCAGTCATTTGTTTTCTGGATATTTACGTGTAGCTGTGTGATGTGAGGACAGCGTATTTCTACTTCACAAGTTGTGCCAAATAAACTAAAATGCCTCAAAAACTACCTCAGATCTATCATATTTTGACCTTTTTAGTGAGGTGAGAAGTAGCTGAAGAGTTTGATGTATATTATGTGTATGGTATGTAAAAGATGTGTCATTAAAAGACTGAAACCTGATACAGATATTACCCAATATTACATTTTAATTCCATTCATTCCATTCCATTTATTTGATAAAGCACATTTAAAAACAGCATGTGAGCTGACCAAAGTGCTGTACAGGGGTAAAAACATATAAGGTTAAAAGAATAATATAAAAGAATAAAACAGCTGGAGCATTGCACAAAGAACCAAACAAGAGAAGTCAATAAAATCGGTATGCTGATTTTGGCCAATATTAAAGCATCTGTCCGGAGTATTTCTCTTATCCGATGGCACCATCTAGTGGCTGACAAGCATTTCACACATCTTTGTTCCTCTGTTTTTTTAAGATGGCGACTTCACGTTTTTGTTTACAAATGTGCTACTCTAGCTGACAAACAGAGCTAAAACAAGTTGTTTTACGAGTATTATTCTCATGTCGTGTTGTTCTCATATATTTATATTTCAGAGACTTTCTTGTCCGTGAAAAGTTCATCAACTCTGCATCAGCCGAGGTATTCCTTAAATTTGAAGCATGTAAGCGGTAGTCTAACGCTATTGGTTAGTTCTGGTCGGCGCTCAGTTTCCTATTGCACAGAGCTCTGCGGGGCAGGGCGTAGCCCCCCAAAATAAAAAATAAAAAGACGTAATGCTTACATTATATCACAGTACATGATAAGATAATTACTTTTACGGATTTCTGACATCATTTCTGAAAGGGGAAAACTTCGGAAAGCAGCTTTAATAGAATATCAATAATACGGAACAAACCTAGCACACAATCCTAAAAGTATCAGGGGTCTAATTAAAAATAAACTTGCTTACACGCAAAATGGGAATGAAAGTTGCGTAAATCATTTCCTATGCAAAGTTTGGATTTTATAGAGAAAAAAGCGTGAAGGAAAAATGTCAGCAACGTAAACAAACCCTGAGCCTTGAGCACACTCATTTACAGCTGTGTTTACAGACTTGTAGACCCCCTCACACACACACACACACACACACACACACACGCACGCACGCACGCACACACACACACACACACACACACACACACACACACACACACACACACACACACACACACACACACACAGCTCCCAACCCATGTCTCTGAACAAAGATTTCAAAAACTAATCTAAATTAAAAACAACATATAAGAGTAAAATCACAGAATGTTCATTTCTACATCTCTAAATTATATATCAATTGCACTTATTGGTGCATCAAATATGATCAGGTGTGTATAAATTGAAGTAATCAGAGTAGACATATAAAGGCTGCAGTGACTTTCTTGCATAAACTTCAGAATGAAAGTGCTTTTTGAAGATCACAATAATGACAGAATAGGAATTAGGAAAGTTTTTAGAAACCATCCAGATTTCTTTGCCCATGATGATGACTGCATGATCCATCGATTAAGGTTCCCTTGAGCAGTCCCATTAGATCTATGTTCTGAACTGGCCCAGTGTTAAATCAACCGACCTGCTGGAACTGTACGATCCCAGCCTCTCGCAGGTGTTGCCTTCCCAGGTTTCTTGCTACTGGCTTGTTTGTTTTATAGCACATGTAAAAAACAGCATGAGAGCCGACCAAAGTGCTGCACATGACATCATCATAAAAACAAAAAATAAAAGAATATTACAAAACTGATTAAAAACAGTCAATAAATACAGCCATGAACACAACATAGGCCAAACGCCAAAGTGGGTCTTTAAGCGTGATTTAAAACTGTCATTGGATGATGCCTGTCTAACTGAGAGGGCAGCACATACTAGAGCACAGGGGTGGCATGCACAAAAGCCTGCTCCCTCTGAACCTTATAATTAATGCTCGTGTGCAGAGTAACAAGTGATCAGCCGACCTCAGTGAGCGTACGGGTACAAATGGAGTGAGCAGATAGTTTATAAAAATAAATACTTGCCTAAAGCCCCTTTGCGTTAAATTAAATGTTTTCAGTAAATGTTCCTCTTAGATCTAGAATGTCTCAGTCATCCCTGTGAATCAGCCATTTTGGATGACATCATTAAATGACTATTGTGATCTTCCTCTTCACCTTCATATTAATTGCCATTCACCACTTCTTCTTTTAGGTTTGTCACACTCAAACCATTCACCACTGCAACAAAGCTGTGCACCTCAAAGATAAGGAAATGTTTTTCCATGCCTCTACTTGACTTAAGTGACTCAATCAGTTTCAGTGAAAAGGAATTTTCTAGACCTCTCTGTTGCTGTGATTACCCATTAAATGCCCTAGATCTGCCATAAGGCACTTTCAATTGGCCATTTATGACAAAATGTAAGTATGTAGATGACATATGATCCAAAATGTATACACATTTATAAGAAGGGTGTGCTTTATAATGTGGGAATTGTGTGTAGCCGTGTCCATGCGGTATTTTAAAAGTCTAAAAATTCCTCTACATGAGACTTTTAGATAGGATTCTGTGCAAAGCTGCTTAAGAGAAGTCACATGGAACATGGGAGGGGAGTAGAGGGTGAAACCACAGTAACCAAAGCATCTGTGTTGAAGGAAACATATCACAGCTCGATCAGCTTCGCAGACCTTCACTGTGACTTTGGTCTACTTCAGTTTGAAAACCAGGAAGTAATTTTATGCTCCTTTTATTGGCTGTTGCTGTTGAAAGTCACTGGTAAGTTTATTACATTTCATTCCTCGGCACATAAGAACTAACTGTAATTGTGATGTAAACGTGTAGATAAGGCACTGTAGAGGATGTGTTGAGTTTCATTTCCTCAGTGAAACAAGGCGAGGCACAAAGAGGTTCAGTGGGAGGTTGCTTCATCGTTGTTTATGGGTGAGTTTTTGGTGGCACAAACAGGATAAGTGGTTATGTTAGCCACTAAAAAGAAAGTATTACCGTTTATTCAGATCCAAATAAAAGCTGAGCGAAGAGTTTTAGCCACAAGCCTGTTAGTAAATGACCAACAGACTTCCTGGTTGTGACAAAAAATTTCCCAGGGATTTTCCTGTTAACATTTAACTTCAATTTTACAAACACAAACATTTCAGAAAAATACTTTTCAGTTATTTAAAATGTTATTCAAAATTTCTTTAAAATTTATTGTTTTAGGTAAATTCATCTGTTGCTGTGTTAAAAAAACAACAACTATAGAGGTAAAAACTTTTTTAAATGTTGAGCAGTGGAAACATGAATTTCTTTTTTATTCAGATTATTTATTTACTCATTAATTGTATAATTTTTATTTTGTTTTACAATTATGTCTAGAATAAACAAGATCAATATGTGGTTTGACTGAACATTCATATGATTGGTTAACACTGACTTTTACTGGGGGGGGGGGGGGTGCAGCAACTTTTCGGGGGTGGGGTGGGGGGGGGGGGGGTGAGGGCGCACTTGCCGCAAGCACACACAGACACAGACACACACGTGCACCCCCACAGACACGCACGCGCACACACACACCCACAGGCACACACATACGCACACACACACACACAGCATACAAGTGCCAGTATATATATATATATATATATATATATATATATATATATATATATATATATATTTATACTATATATATTTCAAGAATTTGAAAAGATCTGGGATAAATGGAATAGGCTCTTTCTGTCTGACATGATTCTGTTTCAATTTGAATTATAGACATAATGTGTGTACACTCGTCTTTTTGTCCATTTATTTGATGTTTTGTTTTGCAAATGAAAGCACAGAAAAACATGTTGAAGACTCAAGATAACATCCAACATTAATGTTGAACGTGAAATCAATCAAGTCAAAAAAGAGAAGCTCTGATGGGTTTGGACAGAGATAAGAAAGAGGACCTTAGATTTGCACAATCTAAGAATTCATTTGAGCTTCATTTATGAACAAACTATAAATTAGGCAAATGCACAAATGTCAGGTTTGTTTGTTTCTGTGTGTCCCTGTGATGGACTGCAGACCTGTCCATGTTGTCCCCCACCTCCCTAGCCTGGCCTGCCGGACTCGTCCTCTGTTTAATTCTGCACAGAGAAAGAGTCTGTTAACTCACAGGTAGAGAGGCACATGAGGGTAGGGTGACTATATTTCCATTTCCAAAAAAGAGGACAGGAGATCTGTCAGGCGTCAGGAACAATTAAAAGACAGAGTACCAGAGGATTTAAACAAATATGAACGATCAGTGGCGGCTCCAGAAATGTTTTTCTGCAGGTACTATGAAGGCGCTAGTCTTTTTATTGAGGGTGCTATGAAGGAAGTGGTCATGCGTACCTATTGTTCTCGAAAACACCTTCAACACTAGCAGATACACATGCGTGCGCAAAACCTCAACAACACCTGAAACAATCATTAATATACATCATAAACATGAACAATCGCTGACTTTTCCATGAAATCATAAACACATACAGCCACACAGAAAACCATCTAAAGTGTTGCAAGGTTAGCTAACATTAGTGTTAGCATTTCCAGCGGCAAAACCCTCGACTGCTGCGGCGGCTGAGGGTTGACTCTCTTCATCCAGATCCGTAGGTTTTTGTGGGTCTGAGATCACTTCCAAAGATTCATCCGTTTCTGACTGAACCCGTGGAAATTTGGGCAACAAAAACCGATCCGTTTTACCACTAGCTCTACCTTTTACTCGTTCGCAGGTGGAAAATTAGGTCAAAGGTTAACATCAATTTCCTGTTTTGGTTTAAGTTTTTACAATCTATATGATAATTTACTGACTATTTTTGTTTTTTATGTTAAATATTATCACATCCACACGTTAAATTAAAATTAAATTGTGAAAAAAAAAATTTAATATTTACTTAGGGGTGCTATGGGGGTGCAATGACTAATCCAGGGGTAGCTATAGCACCCCCTAGCCCCGGCGCCGCCACTGTGAACGATCATGTGTTAATAACAATGTTTTGTTGCGCCACTTTGAGAATGTATCGTGCGCTGGACGCAGCGGGCGCACCAACGATCAGCGCTCTGCGTCCTCTCCGCTCAACAGAATCCCGCTACGCTGAGAGTCCATAAATATTGTAATATAGGTAGAAACTGGATCCTTCCCTGAAAGATATCTAGCCCCCCCATGATTCGATCCCTGCTCCTGGATGAAAAACCGGACATTTTGATCAATGTAGGAAACCCTCCCGGACGCCCCGGACAGACAGTGAAAAGTGGACATGTCCGGGGGAAAGAGGACGTATGGACAGCCTACACGAGTGACGGGACTAGCCAGCTCATAAAGAACCAATCAGAAAAAAGACGAAAATGCCGACTGTACCACGTGACGCTGTAGTTTTGTAGCTGTAGTCAAAAAAGGCGTCTGGCAACGGCGCACACTTCTTTTGCTGTGAAGAGGAGGAGTCTGGCAGGCCTGGCTAGCACATCCCAGCTGATGACTGCTGGAGATCGACACCAGCTCCCTGCAACCATACTGAGGTTGAAGCGGCTTCAAAAAATTGATCCAGCAACTTCATACAACTTTTGGAGAGGGGCGGACCAACGTTCCACAGGCCAGCATCAACAAACATTTCAAATTTGTGCCAAGGAGAGATGCAGCACTGCATGAGCAAACTGGTTGCAGGACATATAATGTTTTTCAGACAACTCCAAAACCTCCTGATACAGTGAAGCTGCATGTTGGAACAAAAGTGGACTTTAATTATGACCTTTGACATATCTGTGCAAGAGTCATGCTGGTTAATCGGTATCTTGATATGCTACACCTGTGAGGTGGAGGGATTATCTCAGCAAGTGCTCACAATATTAGAGAGAGAGAGAGAGAGAGAGAGAGAGAGAGAGAGAGAGAGAGAGAGAGAGAGAGAGAGAGAGAGAGAGAGAGAGTTCAGCTCAAGCCCACAACGAGGACTGAAAAAAAAGTAGAAAATATAAATGTGTTGAGTTTATTTTTAGAATTCTAACTTTGAAAAATGTTCCAATAAAGAAACTCACGCTCACTTTAGTTATTTAGTTATTCCAGATTTATTATTATTATTATTATTAGTTCTGAGTCAGCTTTGTGATGAACGAGTGAATGTCTTTCTGTTGCATTCAGCATGAACTCCACTTCCCATCAAGTTTTTTAATAATCTTTCAATTTAAAATTAATTTGAAGTCATATCTGAATATATTTCAGTTCTGATCGCATCTACATTGTATAATGATTTAAATTATTTAATAAGCCATAAGACAAAAGATTCCATGGGAAATAGGAAATCAACCTTGTGGATCTGTGAGGTTATTTTAAACCAGAAGATTGGAACTATTTAATGCAGGGATTAGATAACAGCTTCGTATTCACTCAGAGACAACAGAAGAGAGTCAAGCTTAAAAGTTTAAAAATTTATTACTAAACAAATTAAACTAGACTAACTTTAACTAAATGTGTGGTGTAACTAAGGTGAATGAGACGGAGAATGGTGTGATGTGGAATGTTGCTCAGAACCAGCAAATCCGAAGAAGCGATTAGTTCTGATGGGAACTGAAGGTGATGTATTCGCGTTAAGCATTGATTAGGGAGATTCATAAACACATTCAACGCCATTTGTCGGCCTACAGACCCTTAGCGGAAGTCCCTGTTAGATCAGGAATGTCGAGGTCCAGCTTGACCTTTTCTGGAACTGAAGCTGGTAGGAAAAGCAGCGATTGCCGACCAGACCAGTCTTTGAGATACTTCCGGGTCACGACAATTTGTTGGCGTCTAGCGAGACCCAAACTTGGGTCTTGATGGTTCAGCTTTTATTCTGAAATGAACTGTTGCAGCAGTTGGAACAGCAACAGATTTTATCCAGCTTGTTGTCGGTTCTTTTGGCTGAAGAGGAAAGTTACGGATTGGCCACTCCGACACTTCTCTAGAACGCTTTGAACTGGCGTTAAAGATGACGTGGGCATAGTTTTATACTTTGGATGTTTTGGTTTATGGTCGAATGAAAAGTTGACAGATTTACTAAACACCACCAAAACCACGCCTCCGTCAGATCTGGCAGATTCTGATTGGATTAGTGAAATAATGTGTCATGTCTTTTAACGCTACGTGAGATCAGTCCTAGTGGAAACATTTAAAGTCATATTACTTATTATATTCTTTAGGATTATAATAAAGTAATTAACATTTTGATTTCACAGATTGGTCACATCTTATTATTGACTAACACTTTGTTGATTAGCTTTATTAAAATAGTTCTTTGATTTATTAAAAGGAGAGAGTCCATTCTTCATTCTTCTCTTTGAGCTGGAAAGAAGCAGTTTAGAAGCAAATGCAAGAGACCTTGAGGCCATATCTCATGCAGACTAGTCCTGTGTCAGAGGAGAGGGGGAAACTGACTTTTGGCGGAAACAGTCATTTCATTCCGTTACAATTGCAACACATTTTTAGCTGATTTGCAGGAAACACATGTGGTCAGTAGGTGTAGTTCATCTGAAATGCTCTGTTTCTGAAAATGTGTACAGTTGAAGTTGCTTCTGCTTCCTCCTACACACGATTTCAGTTGCTCTCTGAACCAATTTAAACAGAGACGTTAAAGATACATTTTAGAGCAAAGTGGCTCATCTAAAGACATATTCACATGTTCAGTTGACTTCAGTTGTTTTACAACTTTATGGTACAAAATGTGCCAGGAGGTATGTCTAAAATGTCATAGTATGTTTATTTTATTTTTTTTCCCCAGCTTAGATTTCTGAAGATGGAAAAAAGAAGTCAACCTCAAGAACCAGCTCCCCCGTATCCCGGCCCACCCCTTAATTATGGAGGTCCAGGGCCTCAGCAAGGATTCTACCCTCAGCCTGGCTTGGCCCCTCAACAAGGTTATGCCCCCCAACCGGGTTATGCTCCTCAACCGGGTTATGCCCACCAAACGGGTACCGCCCCTCAACCAGGTTATGCTCCTCAACCGGGTTATGCCCACCAAACGGGTACCGCCCCTCAACCGGGCATCGCCCCTCAACCGGGTTATGCTCCTCAACCGGGTAATGCCCCCCAACCGGGTACCGCCCCTCAACCGGGTATCGCCCCTCAACCGGGTTATGCCCACCAAACGGGTACCGCCCCTCAACCGGGTATCGCCCCTCAACCGGGTTATGCTCCTCAACCGGGTAATGCCCCCCAACCGGGTATCGACCCTCAACCGGGTTATGCTCCTCAACCGGGTAATGCCCCCCAACCGGGTATCGACCCTCAACCGGGTTATGCTCCTCAACCGGGTTTCGCCCCTGCTACATCTCAAGGTAGATATCAGAGAGGTCACTGCTTAAATGTCTGATATTTCAAATGAAACACATGTTGCTGTGTTAGAGACACATATTCATCTGTTAGATCTGATTTGTGAACACATTCTGTTTTTTAATCCACCAGGTGTTGCCTATGCTCCTGTTCCGACTGCACCAGTAGGTGAGAAGAGACAAAACACAACACTGTTTTAGAGGAAACAAACGCACATTACTTTTAGCACACTCCATAGATCTGTGAGCTTTTACAGATGTTATTTTAAACATGTAAACATATATTAAACATATTTGATCAGGGAAGTTTGTAGAATCACTCCTTCTTTCCACCGGCCATGAAAGTGACGTGTAACGCAATAGTAGCGTTTTCCCTGCGAGCTCCCTCCAACTGGGAGCGTTTCAGATGTGAAACAAGAGCAAAAGTGATCCATGATGCAGGTCCCACTAAGTAACAAAATCACAGAAGTGCAACACCACGCGTGATTTCACAAGTCCACCCAATAATGAGAAAGACGGCTGTATGTATCCCAAAAGGTCTGTGGTTTATTTTCTGTTCTGTTTAAATCAGCTAAGGGGGTTTCACAGGAAATGGCATCAGTTTATCTGCATGTGACTTTTATTTTAAAAGTTTCCAGATGCCTTACACTGCTTTTGTAATGGACTTCCTGTCTGACTAGATCTAAACTGTGGAATTTAACATTTTGGAAGTGTAGCACATGAAAAATTGATTTGATACTTGATGACAGCATCTCTACGCTTCTAGAACATCCAAAGCGTTACACTTTGCTGCCGGTGGAAAGAAACTTGTATAATGTATAAACTTGTATAATGGTGGCTATTTGTTGCGTAGTATGTTTTGCAGCCATTTTGCAAAGCTTTCACATCCGGTGGAAAGAAGAGGGACCACTGCAGTGATACTTAACTCTTTGTTTGGAGCTTCTGTGCTTTATAGAGAAGCTAATGTTCTGCGTTCATTCCAAGCACAATCACAATCATTTCTTTTGTTACAGAAGCTGTCCCATCACAAATGCACAAAAGGAAATTCATGCTGTTCTCTCATTTTTTTGTTATTTTATTGAGCTTTAAGTGACTTTTTACACATTAGTTTTGTTTTATAATATCTCAGCATTTTAAAAGATGAATGAGAATCATGGGAAGGCAAAACTAGAGAGCAAAAAAATCATTTGTAAGTGGTATCCTCCTTATTGAACAGTTTGGCTGTTTTACACAAGTGCATTAGGAGCATGGTTTGTCACTGCCATTGACCTTATATGTGAGGAAAAAAAATAATTTCTAAGAAAGTAACAATCCTAATTTTTTTCACATTTTGTCTTAGTTTTTTGTCTAAAACCAACAAAATAAACTTCTCAAAAAAGAATCTAAACTTTGTTTTATTTGCTAGTTTGAAGAATTTTAGCCAAATATTTTTTCTTAACTCACTGGTTGATTTTTTTTACTCAAAACAAGAAAAATTAGATCATATTTAAGAACAATAACCTTTTTTTAAGTAATACTATTTTTCTAAAAAATTATTTATTTTCTTTTTAGTCTAAAACTAAGAAAATGTCTAAAAAAATTTTTTTTAAACTTTTTTAGAAATCAGTTTTTGCAGTGCAGCCTTTGATTTAAAGGTGTTCCTGTGTAAAAGCTATAATTGTAACTTATTGGTGATATCCTCCTGAAGAGCTTCAGTTTGGAGAAACAGAGTTTACATCATAAAGATAAACGATGAGGGATCTCTCTGAGGAACTACCGTTCCCATCGACCACCATCAGATCAAAGTGCTGCTGTGATCTTAAAGTAGCTCATATCTTCTGGTTCTCATCACAACTCATGGCAGTAGTAGTTTATAACCCCCCACACCAAAGATCTCACATTCAGCTTGCAACCTGTGGTTGTTTATAAATGTAAAAATCCAAGAGGGCGGCAGATCTCAGACCACTTTTGTTTCTTTGCTTATCATTTTATTAATCGTTTTAATTTCTAACTTGATTTTTCTTTTCTTTACTTGAATATTTACTTGCTCTTTATTACTAATGAACTCCTACAGTTGTGATTCTAATTCCTAGAAAGAACAAGATGCTGTGTTGTTTAAATGAGCATTCCCTTAACTTTAATGACAACCCACCTCCTGTTTGCCCTGAAAGAACCTTTTAAACAAGCTCACTTCTTTATTTCTGCCCAGTCTCAGTTCCCCCTTCCTCCCAGGGCTGGGCCCGAATCCAAATGATCTGTTTAAGTTTAAGTCTGTTAAAAGGGCCATAGTAAGTAAACATCATTTTTGCATCCTTTTGTGGGTCTCCACTGCCTCTAAACACTCCACACGTGAATAAAAAACACGTCTGTGGTAGTGACTGCTCAGAAATGAGGAAAACTTGCAAACTTTTAATATTTTTACTGAAATAACCACGCAATGCAAAGTTGACAGTAGTTTATTTATTATATTGTGTTTTTTAGCCACAGATTTGATGAACCTGCTGTCATTGAACGTTAACTGTAAGAGAAGAAACCCATCTACTTCTACTTGGAAACATAAGTTATTGCAACATAAACTCAGAAAATAGTGTTTGTGATTTTACAAAATTGCAAAATGAGTCAAAACTATTTTGAAAACCATTGTTTCATTTTGCGTCCACCAGAGGTCAGAACTAGCAGAAATCTGAATAAGGCAACATATTAATCCGCCGACAGCTGGACTTCTAATGACAATGTTATAAAACTAAAGGAACCCAAACGGCTGTTTTGTTAATGAGTTGCGAGAAAAACTAAATGCTAATTTATCTTCAACAGTGACTCAAGTGGTGGTATCACAGTCACATGCTCTACGTGACCTCCCAGGACAAACGGTGTGTCCTCACTGCCACCAGAATGTCGTCACCTTCGTAAGGCACTCTTCAGGCCTCCTGTCCTGGGCCATCGGTGTTGGACTCTTCATCATTGGGTAAAAATTGGATAATTGTCAATTACACACCTTTGTAAAATCATATTTTACATCCATGCACCCATCAACCCATCCTTTCATCATTCTATCTTAATTGTTACTAATGTCACAGGGAGCTGGTGCCTATCTCCAGTGGTCATGCAGGCGGTATAGGACAATCTGATCAGGTCTCTGGTCCATCACAGGGACCACACAGACAAAAACAAGTCAAACACTGACACCTAGCAGCAATTCAGAATCTTCAGTCAATTGTGAGATGAAGCCGAGTACGCAGAAAAAGCCCACACACTTGGAGAGAACTTGTTAACTCACTGCGGAAATGCTCCACTAGATGTACTCAAACAAGCTGTATTTAGGCCCTCTGTTTCGTTCATGTCGTTGTTATTATTATTTAATTAGTTTACTTCTTTAATCTTTGGGAATATGGAATTTGGTGTTTAGTTTCCTGGTCCAAACTCCACTCCAGTAGGTGGGGGTAGTGCACCTTGAAGTTGCTTTCCAAACACCATAACAATCCATGCAGAAGAAGAAGACGTAATTATCAGATCCACTGACATCATATACATGGACGAGACTTGGACTGGAATTACCTTTTGGAGCTGGCGTAACAGTGAACAGCAACCTTGGAAGCGTTCCCATTCACCCCAGTTGATTTATTTCTACTGAGGAAGGTGTTCACCCAAAAAAAACCCCACATTTAATTATGGCATTATATGGCATGATAATAAAAACAAATGTAATAAAATAAAATAAAGTAAAACATGATGAAAATATAATATCCAGGTTAGGCTAGAAAAGTAATCCCTAATTATCTGTTTTGAAAAATGTGCTGGTTGTTGCAACCGTAGGTTACCTTTCTCAGTGGCCTAGTGGTAGAGTGTCCTCCCTGAGACTGGGAGATCAGGGTTCGATTCCTGGTCGGGTCATACCAAAGACTTTGAAAAATGGGACCCAATGCCTCCCTGCTTGACACTCAGCATTAAGGGGTTGGATTGGGGGGTTAAACCACCAAATAGTTCCCGCGCGCGGCTTGTCTGCAGCTCACCGCTCCCCCAGGGGATGGGTCAAATGCGGAGAATAAATTTCGCATACACACCTGTGTGTGTGACAACTAATGGGACTTTAACTTTTAACTTTAAAAAACTGGCATAGTTGCTCACTCTGCATAGACTCCAGTTGGGTTTGGAAAGTGAAGAACCCATCTAATATGGCGGCAACGCTATTACTCTCTCCAGCGCCCAATGGCGCATCATTTCTATGGTCAGATCCTCGTTGTGTACCCTTGTGTGTTCAACGTGACAAATAAAATTGAGCTCAGCTCACCAGCAGCCTGTTGTCCTGTTGCCTGCTCCTGGGGTTATCAGACCAACATTTGTTTCCTCTTCTTCCTCAAACCATGACAGCGACCTTCTTACTGTGAAGCAACAGTACCACCTACCTCACCACGAAGCCTCATATTTTACATTTATTGAAAATTCTACTTTTCTTGTTTCCATTTGCAGATGTTGGGTTTGCTGCTTTATTCCGTTCTGCATTGATTCCTGTAAAGACGTCGAGCATCACTGTCCGACTTGTAACAGAATCATCTACGTCCACAAACGGCTGTAAAACTAGAACTCCACAGTCAACAGGTATGAGAAGGAATGCTGTCAGGAGCCTATCAACATTCCTCAGGGAGTCTCTTCTTAGGTGTGTGAGACATGAGGCATAACGTAAAAAATCAGAGCAACTTTTCTAACAAATGTAATAATAATAATATATCTTTCGCTTTCTTATTAAGGGAATGTTGTTTTTATATTTGCATTTTCTTAACGCCTTTTACTGTTTCTGTATGTGACGTTTCTGGGCAAAAATTGGTTTTTTATCATTCTTCTGCTATTAGTACAAATGTAGGTTGAATGTAAAAACTGAGGAAACAATGTTTTGCGAGAGAAATTTGAAATGTGGTCAAGCTAGATTATATACCAGCATCTCTGCTGCCTCATTTTACATCCAGTGTCATCTATCTTCTTGGTGTTCTTGTTTTATGTTTTATCAAATAAAAAACTTTGTTGCCAATGTGAGGTCTTTTTTATTTTTATAAATCCTGACATGTAATTTGTTCACTCACTTTCAAACAAATATATCACGTTTCTGGTTTGTTCTGACAAAATATCCCAAGTATTGAAAATGCTGTGAAACAAACTGCTATTTGCATGAAGAAAGGTTTGATATAAATAAATTGTCACTAAATTTAGATAAAACTAAATTTATGTTACTTGGAAACCAAAAAAGTGAAGTGTATAATGAAAGGGTACATGAAATAAAATTCCTTGGTGTGATTATAGACACTAAAATCTGCTTGAAGCCACACATCAAACATGTGTAATGATCTGAAGTTGTATATTTATACACTGTAATTAGATAATTTAATGATCTGATTTTGTATATTTATACACTGTAATTAGATCTAAGTAATTAATCAGAAGTGGTTGTTTTTATCATCAGGGAGTTTACTTAAACACTCTGTATTGACTGAGAGACAAGAAAAGAGAAAGTTGGGATCGTTTAAGAATCTTTAATTTCTATAATTATAAATTCTTACAATCTACCAGGACTATCTCAATGATGAATGCATATGGATTTGGATGTTTCGTGTTGGTATGTGTGTGTGTGTGTGTTTTGTTCAGAATCTCTAGGCTGACGTAGCAAATCTGGTTTGTTATGACTAGGCTACCACGAGGCTTTAGAAGCTGACATGAGCCGCCATATTGCCGTGACCACGTACCGTATATGGAGTCTCCCGTGTAGATCAGGAATTGCCAGGTCCTAAGACCTCGGTTGTACTGGAGCTGGTGAAACAGCGGTCGCAGCACTACAAAGCCCGTCTGAGGATAGCTCCGGTAGTAGTCGGCAGGCGTCAGCAAGTTCACTCTTATTTTGAAGGAATGTCGTCTCATTGATTCAAACAACGGAAATCTCCAGCTTGACAGTTCTCAGCTTAAAACAGGAAATACAGCTGGCCAGCCTGTACTCCTCTTTGCGGTGATGGATTGAGAGCTGGTTGAAAACAATGTTGAGAGTATGATGTAACTCCTTTGGAGCTCGGATCGAACAGAGCTGATGTTAACGTGGAACTGAATATAAAATGGCGTTGCCTTCTTTTATATCTCCCAATTGTTTATAAATCTTAGTAAACCGGATTGGACGACTTTCATTAAACAATCCAGATTCTGTCCTACCACAGACGAAAGTTCTGATTGGTTGAGAATAATGTGTAATGCGTTTCCATGGTAATGCATATCAGTCTGTCTGGTGCAGTCCTGTTTATTCATTTAAACACATAACTCATGACATCTTTATTTCACAGATCACTCACCTGATTATTAATGATCAACATATGCTTTGATTAGCTTATCACAAATAAAGTACTTTGATTAATCAATGAAAAGCGTTCTTCTTCTCTTCTTCTGTCTCTTCTCCTGGAATGTAAACATACTGAACCAAGCGTCCGACCTTGGTGATGTTACTGTGTGAAGGGGCAGCTGTTAAGGGCAGACCATTATAAGCTTCATAACGCTACACATGTCAGGGGGAAGATGACTTGAGGCATCGCAATACTGGGCAATCAGAGGGCACTGTGTATATTATATAACGTTACTTCCACCATACTTGAGTTACTGTGTAGAGGTCTAGGGAAATGCATACAAAAGTACCACAAATTCAATTACCACAATGCAGAAACAGGTGATCAGATTAATAACACATGCAGGATATATGGACCACACAAATGAGCTATAACATTTTAAGTCTTGGTTAGATAGAAAACAGCGCAAATGATATATAAAGCAAGGAATAAATGACTACTAAACAATATACAGAAGTTGTTCACAAAGTGAGAAGGAGGATATAACTTGAGAGGAAGATAAAAAAACACATCTTTTTTTGTTTTTCTTTTCAATTATTTTTCTTATTTTTTCTTTTCTTTTTCTTTTTTCCTTTTTTTCCTATTTTTTAAGTTTTGTTCCTTTTTTTATATAATTTTTTTCCTGAAGATTAAATTTTCCTGAGGACTAAATTTAAAGATACATCGGGTTAGAACAACGCTAACGAGTATGGGTATAGCAATAGTAGGAGTTAAACTATGGAACAGCTTAGAGGAGTAAATTCAATTCAATTTAAAAATACTTTATTAATCCCAGAGGGAAATTGATTAAACAGTACAAACATAAACCAGTTTGAAATAAGTTATCAAAAACATGTTTTAAATAATTATAAAGAAGAAAACAGATGACCAATGTGGATTTGCTTCTATTCTGAGTGTCACAATCTGCCCCTGCCCAACCTGACTGTGTTCCTCTCCTGCCGTGATTGCCCTTATTGTTCTCACCTGTCCCTCGTTTACCTGCCCATGTTTCCCTAATTAGCCCTCTGTATTTAAACCACCTGTTTTGCCCCTGTCCTTTGTCAGTTCATTGTTGCTGTTGTTCATCCCATCCTGCCATTAAACCATTTTTTACTTTTCTGAAGCCTGCATTTTTACCTCCTGCTCAGCTCAACCACACATGGTCCGCCGTCTCCACCTCCTACACCGTGACAGAATGAACTGACCAAACCGGGACCTGTGGTGAGCACTTCTAAATCTCCCTGGAGGATTTATTTTTTCTTTTTTGTCCTTTAGCAGAAGGAGATTCTGGCCCAGGGTGTTGGCGCATCCTACCTGTTCTCCGAGGTGGTCAAGCCTCTGGGTGGGTTTCGGCGCATCCAGTCCGTTTCCTGTGGTGGTCGAGCCCTTCTCCTCTCCTGCTTTCTGCCCCCGTCCCGTTTGTGTCATGGAAGCCGCGGATCCTGGAGCCTGGAAGGAGTTACACCCCCTATGCACGCCATCGTTCTCCGGGGTGGTAGGGCTGGTCTCCCCGCTCTTCTCCTGCTTCCCTGCACCCAAGCCTCTGCCGGAGATCCAGCGAATCGTGCCATGCACCTGCTCTGACCGGCTGTCGAGTGCCTGCCGCCGATCCTGGTTTTCTGGTGTCGCTCCTGCCGTTCGTCCACTTCCTGGTCCACGCTGTGGGGCTTATGCCTGCAGGTCTCGTGCAACTGCAGCCTCTGCTGGGTCCCATGCCTGCTCCTGCAGTTCTCTGCCTGGGTCCCACGCCTGCTCCTGCAGTTCTCTGCCTGGGTCCCACGCCTGCTCCTGCAGTTCTCTGCCTGGGTCCCACGCCTGCTCCTGCAGTTCTCTGCCTGGGTCCCACGCCTGCTCCTGCAGTTCTCTGCCTGGGTCTCACGCCTACTGCTGCAGTTCTCTGCCTGGGTCTCACGCCTGCTCATGTCAAGTCCCTGTTCCAGTCACGTCAAGTCCCTGTTCCAGTCACGTCAAGTCCCTGTTCCAGTCACGTCAAGTCCCTGTTCCAGTCACGTCAAGTCCCTGTTCCAGTCACGTCAAGTCCCCGTCTCCTGTTGTATAGCCTTGTGGGCGTCTGGTAGCCGCCCTTAAGGGGGGGTACTGTCACAATCTGCCCCTGCCCAACCTGACTGTGTTCCTCTCCTGCCGTGATTGCCCTTATTGTTCTCACCTGTCCCTCGTTTACCTGCCCATGTTTCCCTAATTAGCCCTCTGTATTTAAACCACCTGTTTTGCCCCTGTCCTTTGTCAGTTCATTGTTGCTGTTGTTCATCCCATCCTGCCATTAAACCATTTTTTACTTTTCTGAAGCCTGCATTTTTACCTCCTGCTCAGCTCAACCACACATGGTCCGCCGTCTCCACCTCCTACACCGTGACACTGAGGAAGGTGTATAATGATTATCATTTGTTATTGTACATGATGGAGATGTGAGTTTGTTTTTCGGGTGGGGTAATTATTTTAGATTTGTTGTTAGTTTCTTTTTTTCTTTCTTTTTTAATTAGTGTGATATAATATAACACACAAATAACAGATATCATGTAATAAGGGGTAGGGATACATAAGTTTATAATTCAGCCTACTCCCTTTCAAACTAGAACGTCCACAAATGGTCATCAGTATTTGGCAATATGAAGACAGGAATCTACATGAGTTGCCTTTAATCTGCCGGATCCTGCATTCCATCAGCTGGAGTTCAGAGCCTCTCTGCAGCTCTGAACACATGATAACGTATTGTCTACATCAGTGGTTCCCAAAATTATTTAGCCGCGCACCCCCTTCTATGTCCCGACCATGTCGACGCACCCCCCATATATATATATATATATATATATATATCAGACGTCAAGCTAAACAGACAGGGTTAAAACAATATGATCGACCTTTTTCCCCATCACTTTCATTTTTGAAATAGTAATTAATAAACATTCAATACCATTACAATTTCCTTTGATTTAATTTTAAATAAATATTTAGAGTGCCCAGGTGGCACAAAAACAATGCAATTTAACAGTTTTCTTAAAGTAGGAACGTTTAACCTGTGCGGCCAGAGTGCTCTCCTTCCTTCTGCTCTGCGTAAACCTGAGCTGGTCACCTACTTGTGCGTAATCAAATGTCTATAGGGGAAAATATGGAAAAGCTATAGCCATGAGGTTCACTTTTGCCTCAGACCAACTTTTTGCTGTTTTATGGTGTGGCTGAATCTGCGATCCGCTGCCATGCGGACTGAAATAACAAATGCTGCAGTAACATGAGCTGTAGTCAGGTTCGGAGTCACTGGTTGGAGCGGATTCGACTTTAATACGTCATCCCAAAATAGAAGCTAATATCTTAATTTGACCTGGAATGAAAAATGTTATAAAACCTCTTAAAAGTTTTTAATCACAGAGGAGATAGTGCTCATTTCTGTCTTCAGTCTGATGGCGCGCCGGAGTTTGCGCAGCGTGCGCGTTTATTGAATCTCTGTGTGTGTGTGTGTGTGTGTGTGTGCACGCGGCACAGCTCCATGAGCCGCTCCAGTCACCGCATCCCGTTATTGGCGCTATTTAAACCAATGTTGTAAAATTACTTCTGCCCAGCCCAGATGTGCTCACTTGTGCACCCGTGAGCCGTGGTTCCGCTGGAACACGTCTGACCTCTGACAGACGCACTCTGAACTTCAGATCTTCAGCGCGCT